TGTCAAAATATTATGTTGTACACCTCAAATATATAAAGTAAAATTTTTTTTTATTATGAAGTTGTGGGGTACAGTTAAGGGTTAGGTATACAATTGCGTTTCATTTTAAAACAGGCATTACCATCTTCAAGCCTGAGATAAAATGAGAGAAAACAGCTATTAATATTGAGGGACTATCTGAGAAGATCAATGACCTTTAGTAGAAAAACACAGGCACTGCCAACAAAAGAATTAGAGAAATAGATTCCTCAACTTGTCTGCTGCCTTCTGATTTTTTGCCAGTGCCACCCATTGGCCAAATCCAACCATAAACCAGAGGCCATAGACTTTATTCTCTCTGCGTACAGAGCAGCGTGGAAAATAGATCTAGAGGGACAAGTAGGAGATATCCATCAGAGGAAGCATCTGCATTTTCATGTATGTTTATATATGGGAGAGAAAACCCAAGAAAAAGAGAAGTGGTAAAAGATAAAGCATTGAACATAATGTATGTGTTGGAAAGTGATCCCTGAAGAGGCTGAAGGAGTAGTGCATGCATTGGAGGAGAAAAGCAGGAATTCAGGGATTCACACAGGAGGGAAACTTCTTCCTAAGCCTTGATCAAGACAGAGACAATCTACTAGTGCTTCCTATGAGACTGGGAGCTGAGTAATTCTCTTCCACTAAGTTGAATTTGATACCTCTCTGAGATCATTTGCTTCCACCTGGGACAATGGTGAAAAAACACCAAGTCCTGGGCCACACAGGAAGAAAATTAGAGGAAGCCTCATGAAGGACTTAGGGAGTAGCAGAAAAGATCCAAGACATCTTGGGGCTTCAATTTGTATAACAACCCAAGCCCCAGGGGAGAGGAAGAGAGATACTTTCAGCAACAAAGGCATACAAGAGAGGTGTAGCCAAGAACAGAAGCAACTATAGGAGAGCATGTCTTCTGGTCCTGCTAACAGAGAGTAACCAAGAGGCCAGAGGTGAGGGGGAGAAGCAGTTTTCTTTCTATGTTTCTAGGTCTTTGCCCTGGTCACCTCTCTTTCTCCTTTCTCCCTGACTTTCTCCGTTTGCTTCCTTAGTTTGATCCTCTCAACTCTGTCCCTCTTTTCCATCAAGATCCTCACCTGTGCACAAATGCCTGAGATCTGGAGAACAAGTGAGAAAAATGACCCTGAACTCTCTTCTTGACATGCTGAAGGGAGTAGAAATCCCTACCAGTGAAAGAACAAACATACTTCAACTTCATGGAGTCTGACACAGTGGAGAGGCTCTGTAAACACCGACAGAATGGTAAAAGCAGAGATCCTGCCATTTAAATCAAACCTAAATCTCCTGAGAAGTAACAACCACAAAGGCATACAAGAGTTCACCAAGTCTTGATTTTTTTTCAAAGAAAAATCAAGAACTAGAAATAATATCAAATCACCTAACTAGTAAAGACCATTTATCAGAAAGGCATTAGCTAGCACCATACTGAAGAGAGAGCTCTAGAGACATTTTCTTCAACGTTTAGAGATAGACAAGGATGTTGACTATCACCACTTCTTTTATATTGCTTTGAAAATTCTAAATGTTTTGAATAATATGCAAAATACAAATAGAAGCTTGCATTATTCAAAATTATCCTAATAATAGGTAATACATTTTCTGTCCAAAAAAATAAAGAAACTCAAGAAACCAAATTTACAAGGAAACTTTCAGCTTTGGAAATTAGTACTACAAAATCACTATATACTGAAAAAAACATTTTTTTAAAAAGTAAAATTCAGAAGTTTCTTAGATAACAATAGCCAATTAGGAAACAAAAAAATGAAAAAAAGCAACAATAATGGGAAAAGATTTCTGTGACAGAAAGGAAAAATATAAGACTCCTAAATGAAAAATTCAATGGGATAAGGATATCACTTCTTCCATAATGTATATGTCTTAATTTTTTACCCAAAAAATTACAACATGTCTTTTCTTAATTTAAAAACAGTTATCCAAAGCTATAGTAAGAATCTCTTCTACCAGATAGCAAATAAACTAATTCAGTTGATACTGGCACTTCAATTGGTACTTCTCTGTTTTCAGAGAAGATTGCCCAGACAAGCAGTTATCTTTGAGTTTATGCTTAAACTTAATATTTGACTTAAAAAGGCATTGCAAACTAATAGGGAAGGTTGGCACTAGAACAATTGTTTAGCTATTGAAGGGAATTAATTTAGGGGTTTTCTCATTTCATTGGTTTAAAAAATATTTTAAGTAAATTTGTGTAAAGAAATGCAAGTAAATGTTTATTAAAATACTAACTCTACATTATTAAAAGTTTAAAAGTCATGAAATAATTTATTTTTAAAAGCTCAATTGTTATAACTACATGAAATTTTAAATGTATGCATGTGCATAATTTTTTTAAAAGGATAAGTACGACTTAGTGGAAAATGAATTGGAAGAAACATTTCCAGAAAATCCAACAGAGAGAAGTAACATCCTTAATATGTAGTGAAACTCATACACGTTAATAAGGCTGTGCTGCCATACTCCATACTAAGCACTATAAAAACATTTTATTTAATACTACAAGACAGGTTGGACATAGATAAATTGACAATAGACAATAATAAGTAGAAAAATAAATAATAAATGGACAATAAGATAAAATAGAAAATAAATGATTAAGCAAGGAGGGGAAACTAACCAAAATTGAAATATCAACTTTTTATTTTCCTATGAAGAAATATTTTTCCACTAAAATTTCAGATATCGACATGGAGATGATGAAATAGACACAGTCATGAACAAATTCTGAGTGTATAAAGCACTACGATGTATCTATGAAGCAATATTTTAGCATATATTAAGAGCATTCAAAATGTCTATACTCTTATGCACGACCAGAATAATCTCTCTAAAAGACAATTTGGCAATATCAATCAAAATCATTTTTTCCATTTGACCCAGCAATTCAGTTCTTGGAAATTATTCTATGAAAATATACTCATAAAAATATAAGAACAACTATATCTATTGAATCATTTCCATAGTAGTAAAATACAAGAAACAGATTAAATGCCCATCAAAATTCTCATTAGGTTTACATCAAGTTAAAAAGCTTCTGCACAACAAAGGAGACAATTAACAAAGTGAAGAGACAATCTACAGAATGAGAGGGATTTTGACAAGGGATTAATAACCAGACTATTTAGGGAACTCAAACAACTCAATAGCAAAAATAATAATCTGATCAAAAAGCGGGCGTACAAATAGCTGACAGGTTTATGAAAAAATGTTCAGCATCATTTATCATCAGGGAAATGCAAATCAAAACCACAAGAAATATGCCCCATTTAGAAAGACCCAAAAAAATAACGAATGCAGGTAAGGACACAGTAAAAGGTTCCTCAAAAAACTAAAAATAAACTGCCTTAAAATCTAGCAATCCCACTGCTGGATTTATATCCAAAAGAAAGAAAATAAGTATTTAAAATAAAAAAGAAAGACAATAAGTATATCAAAGAGATATCTGAACTCCCATATTTATTGCAGCACTATTCACAATAGCCACCATATGGAAGCAAGATAAGTGCTCATCAATGGATTCATGAACAAAGAAAACATGGTATATATACACAATGGGGTATTATTCAGCCATGGAAAGAATAAAATCCATTCATGCAGCAACATGGATGGAACTGGAGGTCATTATGTTAAGAGAAATAAACCAGACACAGAAAGGCAAATATCACATGTTCTCACTCACATGTGAGCTAAAATAATGAATCTCACTAAGGTAGAAGAGTAGGGTGGTGGTTCCAGAGGCTGAAAAAAGAAAGGGGAAGGGGAGGGTAAGAGAAGTTGGTTAATGGATAACAAATACAGTTAGGTTTAAGAAATAAGTTTCAGTGTTTGATAGCACAGAGGAAAATTATAGTTAAGAATTTATTGTATATTTCAGAATAGCTAGAAGAGAAGAATTGTTCTCAAAATGTAGAAAAGATCTGTATTTGAGGTGATGGATATGCCAGTTATCCTGTTTGATCATTAAACATTGTATACATGTATCGAACTATAACTTGTACCCTCAAAATATATACAATGATGATCTATCAACTATAAATACAAAAAAATTCTCAAAAATTATGTAACAGCCAGGTGGTAGAAAATGACACAACTTAACAACAAGGAGGCATATACATATGGTGATATGGTCTCCAAAATATTAAGTTAAAAAGAAAATGAAAGGAAAGAGAAGGAAATTATTAACATACTAACATTTGTTTTTGTATTTTATGGAAATAACTGTATATATATATATTCTTACCCATGTATAGACTATCTTTAGAATTCCCAAGAAGAGGCCCAAGAATGAGAGTCTTACTTCTTATTGTTTAAATTTTTTATTTTAATTTTTGCCATAAGTACATATTATATCTTAAAATAAAATAAAAATTCTATCAAAAATAAAATTTTGAGATAATTAGACCCGTGTATGCATCAGTTTTGTATCACTTTTGAAATTCTACTCAGAGAAAATAATCTTAAAGATAAAATACTGATTAGTAAATTATGGTATAGCCAAATACAAAAATTTGAAGTATTCATTAAAATTAACTTTATGCATTTTAATTATATAGAAAAATTTGGGGATCATTTACTCATCCATAAAATAATTTTTTAATGAGTGCTTATATTATGCCTTGGAACATACTTCTAAAAGACAAAAGCAAGATATAAAGCTATCTCTGTATAATGATGTAAACTGTTTAAAAATAAGACAGAAAAATGAAAGTAAGCTAAATATTAATATTTGTTATCTGTGAATAATAGTATTATTGTTGCTATATTTGGACATGCTTATTAGACTTACAAGTGATTATAGCAAATAGTTATTTCAGCTTTTCTATTTAAAATGTGTTTTAGCTTTCTATTTGCTTCTTTGTGGAATATTCCCAGAAGCAAAAAAAAGTTGAAGGTTATTTATGAATAAAAGGAGCTGGGTCACTGTTAAGGAGCTCTTATCAGGACCCCAGCTGAACTTTTAAACACAATGTTTTCCTATTTCAGTTTTACAGATGAACACTGACACTGGGACATCTGTGCAATGGATATTTCCACCACTATTACCAACAATTCCAGCCTCCGGGTTTCCCAGTTCATGCTGATGGGGCTCCCAGGCATTCATGAGTGGCAGCACTGGCTCTCCCTGCCCCTGGCTCTGCTCTACCTCTTAGCTCTTGGTGCCAATCTTCTCATCATGATCACCATTCAACATGATCCCATGCTACATGAGCCCATGTATCATTTACTGGGCGTATTGGCAGTGGTGGACATTGGCCTGGCCACCACCGTCATGCCCAAGATCCTGGCCATCTTCTGGCTTGATGCCAAAGTCATCAGCCTCCCTGAGTGTTTTGCTCAGATCTATGCCATCCACTGTTTCTTTGCCATGGAGTCTAGTCTCTTTCTCTGCATGGCAGTGGACAGATACATAGCCATCTGTCACCCCCTTCAGTACCCCTCCATAGTCACTGAAGATTTTGTCATCAAAGCCACAGGATTCATGGTACTCAGGAATGGACTGTTGACCATCCCAGTTCCTGTACTGGCTTCCCAGAGACACTACTGCTCTAGAAATGAAATTGAGCACTGTCTCTGCTCTAACTTGGGAGTTATCAGCCTGGCTTGTGACGACATCACTGTGAACAAATTTTACCAACTGATACTAGCATGGATCCTGTTGGGGAGTGATATGGCTCTGGTGTTTTCTTCTTATGTTCTAATCCTTCGCTCTGTGTTAAGGCTGAACTCAGCAGAAGCAATGTCCAAGGCTCTGAGCACCTGTAGCTCCCACCTCATCCTCATCCTTTTCTTCTATACAGGGATCATTGTGCTGTCTGTCACACACCTTGTAGAGAAAAATATTCCCCTTATCCCTGTATTCTTTAACATTCTACACAATGTTATCCCCCCTGCACTCAACTCCATGGTCTATGCACTCAGAATGCATGAGCTCAGACTGGCCTTTCAGAGACTGCTTCGTGACTGCTGAGTGAAGATGTGTCCAAGTAACTCCAACTGCAGGAAATCATTAAGGTGTTAGCAAGGACAGAGGTTTTAGCTTTCAATAGACCTGGGTTGTAATTTGCATTTACCACTCACTAGGGAGAAAATGGCCAATAAAATCATGAAAACTGCCAACCTCACTAATCAAAATATGTGTATTAATATTATAATAAATTTTCCTATTACTTATAAAATAAGTAAGAATAGAAAAGTGAAGTCTTCCTAACTATCATGTCATCCCAAGATTGATACCCTTTTACATGGCTGGTAAAACTGTAAATTGGCCCAAATACACCAAAAAGAAATTTGGCAAAATTTATCAAAATGTTTATAAATGCTTCAATTCTTTTTCCCAGTAATTCTATTCTTAGAAAATGTTCCCAAAAAAGTATAAATGCAAACAAGGAAATGTTCATTTAAAAATTCATTGTAATATTGTAATAGCACAGCCTTTAACCACAGGATGAAGAATAACTGGGTGGCATGTATTAGACCAAGTTTTTCACCATTCTTATGGACAAAACTTACTCTTGGTGTCATAAATAAAGCATTGTATATAACTTTTATGTTTCTTAGACTTCTCATAAAATTACAATAAAGCACCAAAAAAACCATAGCCTTTAAAAATAATGTTTACAAGAATTTACTTTTTGCTGTTTTGTTTTTAAGAATATTCTTTCCTCTCTCTCTCTCTCTCTCTCTCTCTCTCTCTCTCTCTCTCTCTCTCTCTTTCTCTCTCTCTCTCCATCTCTCTCTCTCATTTCTCTCCCCGTGCCTCCCTCCCTCCATCTGTGTCTCTCTATTTCAATAGCTTTAGGGGGTATAAGTAGTTTTTGGCCTCATGGATGCATTGTATAGTGGTGAGGAAGACTGGGCTTTAAGTGTACCCACCAACCCACCTGTACCCAATAGGTAACTTTTCATCCCTCCACCCCTTCCCAGCCTCCTCCTTCTGAGTCTCCAATGTCCATTATATCATTCTCTATGCCTTAGTAAATCCTTAGTTTAGCTCTCACTTACAAGTGAGAACATGGGGTGTTTAGTTTTCTGGTCTTACATTAGTTCACTTAGGATGATGTACTTCAATTCCATCTATGTTGTTACAAAATACATTATTTCATTCTGTATTTCATTATTAGATGACTGAATAGTATTCCATGGCATATGTATGTCACATCTTCATTAGCCGTTGATCAGTTAATGAGCATTTAGGCTAATCTTTGCAATTGTGAATTGTACTGTGATGAACATGCAAGTGCAAGTGTCATTTATGTATATGACCTCTATTCCTTTGGGTAGATATATCTTCTTTTGAGATGTCTGCTCATGTCATTTGCCCACTTTTTAAGGGGGTCATTTGCTTTATTCTTGCTGATTCCTTTGAGTTCTTTGTAGATTCTGGATAATAGTTCTTTGTCAGATGTATAGTTTGTGAATATCTTCTCCAATTCTGTAGGTTGTCTATTTTCTCAGTTGATTATTTATTTTGCTGTGCAGAACTAAACTAAACTTTCTTTCTAGTTTAGTTAAACTAAACTAAACTTTCTAGTTTAGTTAAGCTCTACTTATTTATTTTTGTTTTTGTTGCATTTGTTTTGGCCTAGGCCAAATATCCTGAAGAGTTTCCTTAGGTTTTCTCCCAGAATTTTTATGGTTTCAGGTCTAATATTTAATTCTTTAATCTATCTTGAGTTAATTTTTATATATGGTGGAAAAATAGTGATTATGTTTTATTTCTCTGCATGTAGCTATCCAATTTTTCCAGCACCATATGCTGTATAGGATATCCTTTTCCTGTGTATGGTTTTGCCTGCTTTGTAAAAGATCAGCTGGTTGTAGTATTTGGACTTTTTTCTAAACCGTCTATTCTGTGTCATTGGTCCATGTGTCTGCTCTTGTACCAGCATCATGCTGTTTTGGTTACTACAGCCTTAGAGTATAACTGGAATTCAGGTAATGTGATGCTTCCAGCTTTGTTCTTTTTGCTTAGGATTGCTTTGGCTATTCTGGCTCCTTTTTGGTTCCATATGAATTTTAGGATTGTTTTTTCTAATTCTGTGAAAACGACATTGGTAACTTGGTAGGAATTGCATTGAATCTGTAGTTTATTGGGGTAATATAGTCATTTTAACAATGTTGATTATTCTAATTCATGAGTAAGGAATGTTTTCCATTGGTGTCCTCAAGAGTTTTTTTCATACATGTTTTTTAGTTCTCCTTGTAGAGATCTTTCAGTCCCTTGATTAAATACATTCTTAGGTATTTTAGTTTTTTGGCTGCTATTGTGAATGGAATTGAGTTCTTGATTTGATTCTCAGCTTGGTAGCTATTGTTATATAGCAGTGTTGATTTGTGTGAATGATTTTTTTATCCTGAAACTTTACCAAATTCATTTATCAAGTCCAAAAGTCTTTTGGAGGAGTCTTTAGAATTCTTTAGGTATAAGATTATATCATCAGTATAGAGATAGTTTGATTTTTTTTTCTTTTCCAGTTTGGTTGTACTTTATTTCTTTTTCTTGACTGATTACTCTGGCTAAGACTTCCAGTAATATGTTGAATAGGAGTGGTGAAAGTAGGTAGCTTTGCCGTGTTCCAGTTCTAAGGGAGAATGCATTCGACTTTTCTTCGCTCATAATGACATTGGCTGTGGCCTTGTCATATACAGCTTTTATTATTTTGAGGAATGGTCTATGCCTAGTTTGCTGAGAAGTTTTATCATAAAGGAATGTTAAATTTTATCAAATATTTTCTGCATCTATTTAACTGATCATATAATTTTTGCTTTTAATTCTGTTTATGTGATGGATCACATTTATTGACTTGTGTTGAGTTTGCTTTAACTCTTACAAATTTATGTGCTTTCCATATGTAATAGTTATAATCAAAAAGTTTCATTTTGTACCACAAAAACTTAATAATTAATAGTTAATGATTAACAAGTACTTCTTATAGGCCAGAAACTTTGATGATACATACATATTATATATATAATTCTCACAACAACCCCTTGAGGGAGGTGCAATATTATTCTCAATTTGCAGGTAAGGGAACTGAGGAACTGGGGATTATAGAATTTGCCCCTGACAGCACAGCTGTTAAGTTAGAGAGCTGGGATTCAAGTCCTTGAAAGTCTGATTCTAAGATGCTCTGTCCCAGAATTTCTGTGTGAACTTGAACAACGTATGAAACCTCCCTATGCTTCAATTCTTCAAGTTAAACATAGTAATAATATTTTGGTAAGTCACAAGCATAGTTTGACAATCAAAGAGATAAACTAAATATGCTTTGAAATATGGCATACATATGGAAAAATTTATCTAACTTTAGCAAAGTTTTCTTGCTAAGAAAAAAAGAAAATAGGTCCTAGAAAATGCCCTAGAAAAATAGTTCCAAGCAACCAATTAATTACATCCAAATGAGTTTTGGCTGTTTGCTCACCTAACAAAAATACGCACTTTTTAAATACAAGAAACACTCATTTGTACCTTCTCTGAGCCTAAAACAGAACTCTGTACACAATGGTTGCTTAATAAATGCTTTTATGATGTAAGCACTCAGGGAGCATCACATGATCAGTCCATGATCTGAATAATGACCTCAGAAAGTTTGCATATGAGTCCACCTTGGAAAATAACTTCTTGGAATTGGGACTGATGAAACATCAGAAACCATGAGCTCGTCGTGCCGGGATAGTAGATACTGGGCAGCATAGTAGAGCTACAGGAAGTCAAGCTATGTTGTGAAGCAGGTCCTCCTAAGAGTTATGCTTGGAAATTTACCCAGGAAGAAATGGTAAACTTCCTCCAAAATGAGTGGTTGCTTCATTCACCCTTCCTCAACAATATCCACTGATTCAAACAGAAACGATCATCCAGTAATAAGAGGCAAGAGACAAAAAAATCACAGAAAGAGGATTTAACTTAACCCAACCTCCTGCAGTTCCTACTCTCAAAGATGATCAAGGGCAATACCAGCATCTAAACCTGCAGAGTTTTTACAGTTTGCAAAACAATTTCCCACGTTGGAAAGACTAGTTTCATGTGATCTTCGAAGCAGTCCTGTTAGTTAAAAAATTGTTAAAAGATTACTGTTAATTCTTTTCTACAAAGAAACAAGTATGGATGATTATAGAAATTTATAAGTAGCAAGATTGAGGCTCAGGCAGTTTAGGTAACTCTGGTAGATGATGATGCTGAGCCATCCCCAAAACTGCCTTCAAACTTTAATTCATTCGTGTCTTTATTTTTTTATTTATTGATTCATTCAGAAATACCTAGCATGAGTTTATGTGTAGCACTCCAGATTGTAGGCCACTCTCAACAGCTTCTCTATAGACGTGTCTTTTAGTTCTTTCAAAAGTACATGAACACCTGACATCCATCTTGAAGTCTCTGCAAAAATTCTGACACAACAGAAAGATTTGTATGGTTAATTACTCTCTCCTCTCTATGTGCCATGAGTATAAAAAGGATTATGCACTGTTTTATTTTTATGAGCTATTTCTCTTTGTCATGTGTGTTATATTTGCCTATATGTCTTGCTTTATGTGACTTCAATACTGTCACACTACTTTATTTTCATTTGCCTATTTGTCTTTTCTCATTCATTTCCATGTTCCTTTGACATTTTAATTTCAGTCTGTCTTTTGGAAACAGCATCAGTTGGGTCTTTATTTTTTCATCAAATATGAGGAACTTACTCATTAAATAGAAGGATTAAGTCACCCACATTTATCATAATTCCTATGTTTATTTTCGCACCTACGATCTTATTTATTTTTATTATAGTTTCTGGTAGTTTTTTTCTATTCCTGACTTTTACTGAATTGATCTCTTTCACAATCTCCCACACTCCCAGTTTATTAATTTGCAAGCTTTATTAAATGTCTATTTGACAGACTGTTGTATTCATAACTTTATGAACACTTTCAAACTTATACCTCTTTATAAAAATGCCCAAATAATGTAATAGTTATGCAGTATTTTCTCCTTCCAATTCCAGGCTCCAGATAAGAACTTTAGAATTGTTTGTCCCTTTTATTCTCCATTAAGCATCTTACTATGCTTGACATATTCCAAAGATGGCCATAATA